AAAAAAAATAATAATTCAAAGGCTTCATCAATGCCTAGAAGCAAAGTGAAGTCTATTATTAAGAAATGGAAGGTATTTGGTACAACACACAGACCCTTCCTGGATCAGGACGTCGCTCCAAACTGGATGAAAGAGCCGGCCAGAGAGGCGACCAAGAGGCCTACAGCAGAGTGATAATTGTGTGCACGTGACAACAATATCACAAACTCTGCACAAATGTGGCTTGTATGGAAGGGTTGCAAGAAAAAATCCACTCCTCAAGGAAGGCCACATGCAGTCTCGTCTGAGCTTTGCCAAAACGCACCTTTAAGATTCTGAGGCAGATGAGACAAAAATTGAATTATTGGCCTCAAGACGAGACGATATGTCTGATGGAAATCCAATACAGCTCACCATCCAAATAACAGCATTTACAGTAAAGCATGGAGGTGGTGATCTCCTGTTCTGGGGGTGTTTCTCTGCAGCAGGGACTGGAGCTCTTGTCAGGATAGAAGGCACAATGGATGGGGCAAAATACCGTTAAATTCTTGAGGAAAATCTGCTGCCCTCTGCCAGAAAGTTGTCAATAGGAAGAAGGTTTACCTTCCAACATGACAATGACCCAAAACACACAGCAAAACTGAGCACACAGTGGTTGAAGGAGAAAAAAAGATGATTGTCCTTGCATGGCCTAGTCAGAGCCCAGACTTGAACCCCATTGAAAAGAAAAGTGGGCAAATCGGGCAAAGTCTAGATGCAAAGTTAGTAGAGACATATCCCAACAGACTAAAGGCTGTAATTAAAGCAAAATGTGGTTCAACAAAATACAGACACAAGGGGGTGATCCTTTTTCCAACTCAGTGATTCTGTTTTTTTTTTTTCTTACATGTTGGTGTTATATCTTTCACTTGGATGTTATAAGTTGCACTGAGTAAATACAGCTGGATAAAACAAAAACTGTGTCCGTCTTCATTTCAGGCTGCAAAGCAACACAATGTGATTATTTTAAAGGGGGGCCATTCTTTTCTATACCCATTGTACATACACACACACACACAAATATATATATATACACACGTGGTCAGAGTTGTTGGTACCCTTGGTAAATATGATCAAAGAAGGCTATGAAAATAAATCTCCATTGTTAATTCTTTTGATATTTTATTTTTAAAAAATCACAAAAAGCTAACCTTTCATTGGAGAATGAGAATTTAAAATGGGGGGGAATATTATTATGAAATAAAGGCTTTTTTTCTCAAATACATGTTGGACACAATTACTGGTACCCCTAGAAATTCTTATGAGTAAAATATATCTGAAATATATTCCCATTCATATTCATATTCACAATTTTGAGCACACCAGTGTGATTATGAACATGAAATTAGCCAGCCATGGCTTCCTGTTTCACAGAAATATAAATAGAAGGGGAAAACAAAGGTCAAATTCCAAATTAATCACCCATTACAATGAGAAAAACCAAAGAATATATTTCTAAAAGATAATTGAGCTTCACAAATTAGAAAGTGCCTTTAAGAAAAGAGCTAGAGCAGTAAAAATTTCCATTTCCACCATCAGGGCAATAATTAAGAAGTTCCAATCAACAGAAGGGGCCCTATCATACACCCGGCGCAAGGCACGGCGCAAGTGTTTTTGCTAGTTTCAGCCCGACGCAGTTCTCATTTTCCCGTCCTGCGCCGCATTGTTTAAATAGCAAATGCATTTGCGCCTATTTGTGCGCCCATGTGGCGTGCTGGTCTAAAAAAAAGGTGTGTGCAGGCGCATTGTTGGCGCGTTGCTATTTTGAGGAACTGAAAATAGACTGCGCCATAGACCAACTCAAACATGGTCTAAAGTCTGGCGCAGTATTTTTTCTTTGTTATTTAAAGAGTGCGTTAGTAATATGCGCCTATAGACGGGTGCTCAACGCACGTACACTTTGCTTATTACACACACAGGGATGCGCAGCAGCACACAAACATT